TTCAGAAACATTAGTGTGCTTAGAGGCAGGAAACTCACAAAAGATGCCGTAATACATTTAATGCCCTAGTTAAGTGTATCACACAGGTCCCATTTTCTGGAGCTGGATAAACAGAACATCTTTCTCTTTCTATTCTAAGCGTCCATCCCCCGCTTTCCCCAAGCCACTCAATGGCACAATAAATGGAAGTCTTATTTCCTACCTCTGCAGACCTATTTACCTGAATGTCTGAGATTGCCCTTGCTTTCGCAGGCCTACCCTTTCTGAAATAGACTTTTGCTTCCATCTGCCTGCCTTCATTGCCCTCATTTAAAAAGCCTACTCTAATCCTACACACTCCATGTACTTTAATCTACAATGTTGGACTTTGCTGTTCTGCATAGCCACCTTTAAACATTCATCTCCCAGATTCACATTTCTTCCATTGTAAATTTAAATCCCTCTTCATAGTCTGAACTACTGAAAAACATTTAAAATAAAGAACTTATCAAAAGCCATTTCTGCTTATTTAAAATACCTTACTGGATAGCTATATTCCCTTTGGGAGGGAATTCCATTATTTTTGCAAACTATGAATTTGATGCTTCTACTTCTTTTATGTGTATGTTTTAACTTTTATTTATTATAAATAGAGAACTTTACCTTATAAATGTCCACTCAAACCTATGCCCTTTCTGGTTTTTTATTTTTGGAATTCAGGAACTTGGTGCTTCTGAAATAGGAAAAGCTGTGTGTATGTGTGTGTGTGTGTGTGACTGAGACTGTATATATTGGGCCCTTTACAGCAAAAGTTTACCTCTTATGCATTTAACTCAGTTAGAATGTGCCTCTTTTGGGGATTTGTTTTTCCCAAAGTTCTTAAACAGGTGGAGTAGTCAGTATGTTAGAGCCTGAGTTGGTGGACTGGGGGAGGTTTTGGCTGTTCCAGCCTCCTGTCTGTGAGATGGGATGATTGGACTAGAGGCATTCTGAGATGAAAGCAGGTAGGGGTAGATGTGAGTCTCTATGGTGTGTAAATGTTCCATGGGAAACACCTGCATGGTGAAACAAGGGGAGGCCTGGTAAATTCCTGGTCATTGGTACTTGGTTTTCATACCCTGGAGAGGACGCATTGTTCTGGCTAGCCTGGCATTTCTCCTGCAGTAACAGGAAGGGAGATTGAAGTATGCTTCCCATCATTTAATGGAGGTGAGGAATAAAGTAGGCTGCAGTTAAGAGAAAACAACATCTCTTCAAGGCTGAACTAAATGTGCCAGCCATGCTGATTGCTGCAGTGAGACGTTTCTAACTCCTCTTAAACTTCTTTATGCATCTACTGAAGAATGTTAAATCAACCGGAGAATTTCTGGTGTCGTGTTGCCCAGAATCAGTATCGCTTTGTTCATGTGGGTGCACCTAAGAGATTTTCACTCTCTGTCTGTGGTGCCAGGGGATGCACTGGGCTTTCTTTGACCTTAACCCCCTATGCAGGGCAGTTACAGTTTAAGCTGAGGGCTCCAGAGTGCTGTCTGCAGCTTCTGATCTCCTGGTCTCCCACTTTGTGCTCTGTGCCTCCTGTTCATCCGTAAAACATCTCTTCCTGCTTTGTGTCATCCTAATAAAAGGAACTGGAAGTTTGTTTCTGAAAAACCAAACAGAGTAGCATGTTTGGGACAGATACTGTAGTGACATGGCAAAGTCAAGTTGAAATAGAACCCTGTCCCCCATCTCTAAGTCCCACTTTTATTGCAGTCTGCATAAAATCAAAGTGCAAGAGCCAGCTGCTCTGAAGGCTGGAGGTCCTCATGGCTATGGCATGCATTGGAAACTCCTCCCCACCAGATTTGCAGTTAATGAAAATATTTGCTTTGCTTGATACAAACAAAGTTTATGGGCAGAATTTGTAGTTAGGAAATGCTTTAAATCTTCAGTGCCACCAGTCTCTAATTTCTCTTGTTCTGTGTTGGAGAATTCCAAGTATTTAAGATAACAAAACTTTTCTCAGTAATGAGCTTTACTTCTCTTTTTTAAATTATTTCTGGTGTTCTTGTATGTATTTCTCCCTTCTTTTGTGTTTCCATTCAAATTAAGGGGCTTGAAGTCAGGGTTTTTCTTTATGTATAGGTCAGAAATCATCCTTAGTAGGTTGGGAGCCTATGCCTTGTGTTCCGTCAGGGCATCCCATAGCCATTTGACTACCCAAGTCTGTGACTTAAGGACAACTACTGGGCAATGTAGCTGTCTTCAGACACATGGAAAACCAATGTTACCTGGTCAAAGTGCGACCACTTCCTATGTGTATAGCCTTGTGGGGTTGTGGTCTCAGCCCTTTGCAATTTTTTGTCTATTTCCTACTTGTGTTTCTTGTTGAACATCCACAAATGAGGCAGGCATAGCACCTGCTTGTGTTCTTCATGTGAGAGCTAGCGGTAGTGGGGACTGATCATGAGAACTACGTATTAGACCAGAGAAAACAATGTCCCTCTTCTCACGAGTCTCTTGGGCTTTCAGCCCCAGTGGGAATTGTATTAATGATGCAGCCCCAGTTCTGCCTGAAGATCCACTTCATTGCTAGATATTCAAAGAGGAGGTAGTCAGGGAGCTTTGTGCTTCAGCTTGAGGCTGAAGGCCTCAAGAAATGGTTTCTTCAAGAATCCAGGCTGCTTGTGTGGTTCTGGGGGTTGGTGAGAGTTTTATCTTGCAGTGCTCCCTATGGAGACACGACAGGTGGAAGTGTATAGGTCAGGGGCCACTGCTGTTAACATGAAGGTAGGTAGGGACCTCTGTTAAGTTTTGATTCCCCCAGGGGTAGAACTTTGTCTTGGGAATTTGCCATGAATGTCTTTGAAACCAATGAAGGTTTTCTAGGAATTCTTTGTTTTCTTCCAATGCCAGTCATTTGGGCAATTAGTGATAAATCTTAGTTTCCAAAGTTTACCAAAATCCCACCAAGCATAGCTAGATCAGGTGAGATGGAAATGACCTTTCTGACTTTGCCAACTTGCCCCCTGCAGAGGTCATGGATTTTCTGTTCACAGCTCTGCTGCTTTGGAATTGTCTTTGAAAGTGAAGCCTGAGCACGTCCCCCTAGTCTGTGGCTAGGATGACTCTCCTTCCCCATGACTCCTAATGTGTAAAACAAGCACAGCCATACAACTTGGAATGTCATAGGCTTAGGTCACATCCTTTTTTGAACCTTAGCCACAAAAATCTGGGAAAAAAAAAAAACCAAAAAACAAAAAACTGAGTCCCTGTCTGGCTAGACAGCTTGCATTTTTTCTTTTTTTCAAATCTAGTACTTGTAGTTTTTTTGTTTTTTTTTTTTAAACGGTGCTAAGGTTTGAACTCAGGACCTGCACCTTGAGCCACTCTACCAGCCCTTTTGTTTGTGTTAGGTATTTGCCCAGGCTGGCTATGAACTGTGATCAGGCATGAGCCACCAGCACTCAGCTTGATTTTTTTTTTTTTTTAAAGTTAGAAAGCATGGCAAAAATCAGTTGTTCGGTAGCATTTGTCAGAGAGACTGATTTTGCTTGTGGAAAACTGACATGTATCTTTTCAATTCTGTATCTGTAATTTGGAGCTTGAAGATACTTTGTAATCTGCAGGAGAATGATTTACCTTTTCTTCCTGTGCTTCCTCAGTTGCTTCTTAGTGCATACAGAATAAGGAGATGTGATTGGTAGAAGGAGCAATAGGAGGAAAGCATATTATGCAAGTTCTCATGGACTGGCTAGATTTGGAGAGGCTGGTCTAAGCAAAGATACTGTCTTCCTCATATACTTTCTACACTGTAACTGATCCTCTGTATTTTTGGAGAATCTGCCTACTCTAGAATGTTTAATTTCACAATAGTAAGCTAGTTTGTTCCCAAGGTCAGCTAGGGGTTGAGTGCCAAGGAAACCTGCCCAATAAGTGAGCCATGGTTTAGTCCTGGGATGGTATGGGGCTGGTTGAGGTTTAGAAAGGTGGAGCCTGTGTTACGGGGATTGTGGAGTAGACGGGATGGGAATAGGGATGGTGGTATTGGGGAAGAATGTAGAAGTAAGCCAGACCCTCCCTTGGACTTTCCTTACTGGAGAGGAGCAATGGGAGGTGTGAAAGTTCTGGAGTAGCTCTTGGCATTAAAATCTGTTCCACTGATACTCAAAACAACACCCTCCCTTACTTTAGCTGAAATAAAGCTTCTTGCAGGTCATTCATATTTGGTCTTTTTGGTTTTGGTTTTTGGTTGTTTGAGACAGGGTCTCAGTAAGTAGCGCAGACTTGCCTAGAACTTTTGATCATTCTGCCTTCACCTCCCAAGTGCTGGGATTACAGATGCGCCCCAGCACACCTAGCTTCATACTTGATGTAATGTTAGATATGTGACTTTCTGGGCCTCTTCCTAAGGATGAAACCAGATCAGTGGGTGGTACAGAAAAGGGATTGGAGCAGAGGTCTTTGATGCTTGAGTTTTCCCTCACAGGGCAAAAAAAAAAAAACAAAAACAAAACAAAACCAAACAAAAAAAAGCTTTTAAGAGTGATAGAGGGAAAAATCACTTAAAAGTAAGGCCACATTACTCAGGAGACAGAGGCAAAAGTTAACAAGACCCTATCTCAAAAACAAAATAAAAATGAAAGGACTGGGTAGGTGGCTCACACCTGTAATCCTAGCTACTTGGGAGGCAGAGATCAGGAGAATTGAAGCCAGCCCTGGGCAAATAGTTTGAGAGACCCTATATCGAAAAAACCCATCACAAAAAAACAGACTGGCAGAATAGCTCAAGTAATAAGAGCGCCTATCTAGCAAATGTGAGGCCTTGAGTTCAAACCTCAGTGCTGCCAAAAAAAAGAAAGAAAAAGTCTGGAAGCTCTCTGTAGATTCTAGGCTAGGCCCCTGGGATCAGTCCCCTTTACCACAAAAACAAAGTCAGCATATTCACTGTATGGAAGTATAGTCTTAAGAATTTAGCTCTCAGGGGTTCACATCATCTTGTCATGGATGGTAAAACCTAAGGTATCATCTCTCCATTCCAGGAGGTGACTTTGGACCAGAGACTCCTCCAGTCCTGCCTCCTGATCATGCAGGTGACTCTCCTGTGAGTAATCTTCCTGCAGCAGAGGATACTTACCGCGTGAGCTTGGCCAAAGGTGTCTCGATGTCTCTGCCTTCTTCACCCTTGCTGCCTCGACAGTCTCACTTGTCACAGTCAAGATCAAACAAAAAATCCCCAGGTAAACAGGAGCCAAATATGTTCAAACAAACTGTCTAGTTACATAAGCATTAATGTACTGATTATAAGTGAAACAAGTACACATGAAAAATCTTCCAGGAGAGCCAGGAGTGGTGGCCTGTGCCTGTGATCCCAGTAGTCCCAGCACTGGAGAGTCTGAGGTTGGAGGATTGCTTGAGCCTAAGTGTTCGAGGCCTGGCTGGGCATCATAGATCCTGTTTTGTTTTTAATCTTCCATACAAATGTAAAAATTTTTAAAGGATGGTTTCAGTAGATTTTTCTCTTTAGTTCAACCTCCATATAAACTAGTCTAGCCCAGGCTAGACTTTTATAAAGGTTCAAGATCTTTGTAATATTAACCATTGGTTTTGTTGGTTTCATGCTGATGAATTAAAGAACACTGTGGGCTATGAGGTGCACTTAAAGGTTGTGGATATAGGCAAGTGTCACCTGACAACTGTCTGTTTGTTACTACCAAGCATTGTACACTGATGTATTGAGATCATCCAGCACTTGGACAGCTATAAAATTTAATTTCTTGTAAAACTCAGACTTGTGATGGAACAGAGGCCAGGAACTGATAGATTATTTGTGTATTTTGTCTTCCCTTGCCATTATTAACCTCTTACACTTAATGCTACTGAAAAAACAAGTTAATAACTTTGAGAGGTTATGATTCAGGTACAAGGAAAACCTTTCCCAAATGTTCATACCTGGAAACAGAACAGTTCTTTGATATTCTTTTACATTTGCTGAGTATTTGCTTACCAAAGGCAGGATAATTTGGGACTTTATTGATCAGGTGCCAGTACAAAGATTCTTCTCAATTACATGTGAATGTATTCAGAATCCATCTCCAATGTGCCCTTGGGCTGTGAAATTTATTAGTATCTGTTTATCTGGTTTCCTAAATATTTTATCTGGTTTCCTAAATATTTTTATTACTTGAAGACATTTGCGTCATTTCTGAATCATTTATTGGATATGTGAGATTTGTGGGGGGTAAGTTTAAGAAGGCAAACCTTAAGTTTTTGAATGTTAGAAATAGTGATTTGAGCTGGTCACTGAGGTGCACAATCCAAGCTGTTCGGGATGTATAGAAAGATCGGGGTCAGAGATTGGCCCAGCAAAAAGACCCCAGGAGATCCTGCTGAAATATAGTTAAAGCAGAAAGGACTAGAGATGAGACTCAAGTGGTAGAGTGCTTGCCTGGCCAGCAGTGCTTCCCTGGAACCATCAAAAAAATAAAAATAAAAAATGGTGGTATGAACTTGTTGAGTGTCCAAAATCTTTTATTGTTCTAGAATTTTCTTATTTTGGACAACATTGTTTATAGTGCAGTCATTAGTTGGAACTTGGAAATCTTTTTGGTATGAAGTGATTTCCTGTGCCAAAGAATTTGACCTGTTTATCAGTATTTGGGGAAATTCCTGGAATGTCCTTTCTTCCCTGTCTGCCTTCCCCACTGTCGTATATGTCAGATGTCTTCTCTTCAAATCATAGTTCCCACACTGCCTCTTGCTAGGTTACCCTGGTTGGAGTTAACTCTGCTTTCTAAAAATTATGCACAGTATTTTATCTCTTTCCTATTATTAGCTAAGTCATTTGTCCTTTGTCCCAGAGTTACTGTGTAAATTGACAGAAATCCTTTGCCAAACTTTAGGCTCTGGAACCTTCTTCTAGAACCATCTGTGCATTCTGTTGTAAAATCCAGTTTTAGTATGGAAACTTGCTATATCACCCCACCCTGCCCCTCAACTCTGACCAGTGTCCTCATCCTCCACCATTCCCTAGAGGATGTCCTACCACACTGGTCTGTCTTCAATAAGAGTCCTTTTAGGGTTAATTCAGCTAGAATCCCCTCTTTCCCTTGATGTTTCCTCTTTGTAATTTTCCATCCACTGACCCCCACCCTGTTCCTTGGCTGTCCATTCTCACTTGGCCGTGCTGTATTCACAGTTGAGCCCAGTCTCTCTCCCTAACTGCAAAATTCTACTGCAGTGGTCCCAATACACCTGAATGAAGTGGGCCTTGCTATGCTTTCACAATTATCATTGAATAAATTGAATAATTCTTTTTTAATGTTATGTGCTTTGTATACCTGATGCTTGAGGATAGGTAAGATATCTTAACCTAAGGATTTCCTATCTATATAAAATAGATAATTCTAAACCTATCTGTATCCTAAGGGACCTCAAATGAAGGTAATTCCAAGTATAGAGATTTGACATTTTGGACAGTGTTCCTTCCTTTTGTCTGCTCTACAGCTAATGAATTGATGTTGCTTGGGCCTGAGAATTAAGAAACACTTAAGACTGCAAGGAATACTATATTTCAGATGTAATTTTATTTATTTATTTTGTAATACTGGGATTTGAACTCAGGGCCTACACCTTGAGCCGCTTCACCAGCCCTTTTTTGTGATTTTTTTTTTTTTTTTTTTGAGAGAGGGTCTTACCAACTATTTGCCCGGGCTGGCTTTGAACTGTGATCCTACTGATCTCTGCCTCCTGAGTACCTAGGATTACAGGTGTGAAACATCAGCACCTGGCTCAGATGTAATTTTATTATTGATAACAAATCCAGTGTCTTTTTTGGTGGGACTTTGGGTGGCACTGAATGTTATGGTAGACCTGGGAAGTGTGGTTGTCCAGAAGGGTTTCATGGGGACTTCCGGTATGTGGGCGGAGAAATCCTTCTGAGCTTGTCTCCTTATTTGCCTGGACCAGTATTACGTATTTTTGGTTGTGAGAAAATATTCTTAGATTTTTCTCCATAGAAATGAAATTTATTTCTGCTCAATTCTTTGCTTGGCTTTATGAGTAGAAGGAAATAGACATTCTGCATCATTCAATCCTTTAACTGTTTGAATAAAATATCTTCCATATTAGGTGTTTTTGGTCCAAATGGTAATGAAGTAAACTAAGTAGATATGTGTCTAACAGAGCAGTTCTTGTGCGCTACCCAAATTTGTACATCAAATTAGTGTCTCACAGTGGTGATTTGACATCATTATCTTGGTAATTTTAATTTGAAAAGAAAAGTTAAGGGTAGAGATGTTTGCTTTAAAATGGCAGTGACTCAGAATACATTAAATAATGTATTTTTTTCCATAGTGTCTAACTAACAGATTTCTGCTTAAACCGTATTGTTGGTGAAGTATACAGCGCCCTAATGTTCTACCTGTTTATATGTATAAAAGTTGACATATGGCTGTGAACGTGCACTGGATTTGAGAATATCCATCTATGTTAAAAACTAGCACTGTTGCTATTAACAATACACTAAATACAGTGTCTGTAGGTCCCAGATGGTATCCATCCAGTATTACCAGTCCTGGAGGCCCACACCCCTCTACCTCAGGGGACTGTGCTCTGATCTTATTGTTCAGACCCAGTTCTGAAATGACCTTGATAACTTTGTTCTGGTCTGTAAGATAGACCCCTTCTCCTTCTTGTTAAGCTTTGGGAGGCTGAGGCAAAAGGATCTTTAGTTTAAAGTCAGGCTGGGCTACATAGCCAGATCCTGTCTCAAAAAACAAAATTAAAATGAAAAAACACCCACCATACCTGTTTGTTTGTGTAGAAACTCTTCCCTAATTGATGTTAATCTAGAAACTGTCTGGGACTAGAACTGTTATTCTAACAAGGGTCAAATGCTATAAGCACCTGTAATAAGGCATTCTGAACAACACACCTATGTTAGTGAAAATTTGTATTAATACAGTTAGCAATCAGCTCATGGATCTTGCGAGATTTGGGCAAGAGATGATGTCATTAACCTTGCTCTGATGTGACCTTTCATCTGATGTGATCAAGTTGCTTATATCCCACTTCATGTTGACAATTTGTATTTACCCTTCTGTTACCTTCCTCCATTTATTTGAATTTTATTCTGATACTTGGTTGGAAGGTTCCGTTTTCTGAGTATTGTTTCAAGTTTTGGATGTTTTTTTAAAAATGGAAAATCCATTTTCTGATAATGAAAACAAGGAGTGGCATCCATTAAAGTTATTCTGTGGCTGTGGCAGGCATTTTTGCATTAGGAATTCATCAGTATTTATAATGTATCCTCCTTTTGTCTTCCAGAGAAGAGAAGCAGTCATTTCCTGTGGTTTATTTATTAGTAATATCATTAGTTATTTTACATTTGCATTCCTTTCTGCAGATCACTTTGGGTCCATTATAAAATAATCAAAAGGTCAGGCATGAATGAGAAGCAGCAAACAGCCTTTTAAAATACTATGTTGGGTACAACAGAGAAAATGGTGACAAGTGGATGATACAGGTTGAGCATCACTAATATGAAATCTGAAATGTACCAAAATCTTGAGCGTTTCGAGCATTAACATGGCATCTTAAGTGGAAAATTCCACTCCTGACCTCAAGTGACAGGTCACTGTGAAAAGGCAAGCACACTAAAAGTATTGTACAAAATTACCTTCAGGCCATTGTGTAAGGTGTGTATGAAATATAAATAAGTTTTGTGTTTGGACTTGAATATGCACATATTCCAAAATCTTGAAACACTTCTGATCCCAAGCATCTTGGGTAAGGGATCCTCACCCTGAATTGCTGTTCTTGTGCTGCCTTGTGTGTAGGGACATTGGAGAGCATGGGACATTTTCACTTCTGCCTGGTCCATCTCACAGCCAATGTAGCTGCTGTAGCAGTTTTGAAAACCTCTTGCTGTCTGTTGCTTTAAGAGCAAAATCTGAAAATTGACAGGCTGTGAAGTGAAAGTCATCCCGTCTGTTTGATTCTTGGACAATGATTTAATGTCTGCCAAGGTGCTCCCTCCCCCCACAGGCAGGGGTGGTTGTTTTTTTGTTTGTTTTTAAGTGGTACTGGGGTTTGAACTAAGTGTTCCTTAGTAGAAAATCTGGAAATCCCATCATTGAGAGAGAACAACTAATAGCATTTTAGTATTTTTACAAATCTACTCCACCTAGACCTGAGACCACGATGTAATCTTCACGTGCTCTTTTTTTTTCTTCATAAT